TAACTGCCTAGAGGTCATTGTGTATAAATCCACAGTCTTTATGATAGGGAATCATTCCAGTTGCCATGTCTTTTCATTATCATAAAGCCTGCGCTTTTTTTCATTAATTGTAGGCAAGGCCTTAGACCTCCATCTCATTATGACCTGGTCAATATCATTGGATTTTCATTAGCCACTTGGGCAATATCATTGGGAATTTCATTAACTACTTGACCGATATCATTGCAATTTTCATTAGCTATTTGGAAATTTCATTAGCTACTTGGGCAATATCATTGCGATTTTCATTAGGCTACCTTGGGAATTATCATTGGAAATTTCATTAGCTTACTTGGCAATATCATTGTGAATTTTCATTAGCCTCTTGGCAATATCATTGGGAATTTCATTAGCACCTGGGCAATATCATTGCGAATTTTCATTAGCTACCTTGGGAATTATCATTGGAATTTCATTAGCCTCTTGGGCGATATCATTGGAAATTTCATTAGGCATGTGAGCAATATCATTGTGATTTTCATTAGCTATTTGGGAATTATCATTGGAAATTTCATTAGCCTCTTGGGCGATATCATTGGAAATTTCATTAGGCATGTGAGCAATATCATTGTGATTTTCATTAGCTATTTGGGAATTATCATTGGAAATTTCATTAGCCTCTTGGGCAGTATCATTGGAAATTTCATTAGGCACCTTGGCAATATCATTGCTATTTTCATTAGCTATTTGGGAATATCATTGGAAATTTCATTAGCCTCTTGGGCAGTATCATTGGAAATTTCATTAGGCACCTTGGCAATATCATTGCTATTTTCATTAGCTATTTGGGAATTATCATTGGAATTTCATTAGCCACTTGGGCAGTATCATTGGAAATTTCATTAGGCACCTTGGCAATATCATTGGTATTTTCATTAGGCACCTGGGCAATATCATTGCGATTTTCATTAGCTACTTGGGCAATATCATTGAAATTTCATTAGCCACCTGGGCAATATCATTAGGATTTTCATTAGGCACCTGGGCAATATCATTGCAATTTTCATTAGCTATTTGGGAATTATCATTGGAAATTTCATTAGCCTCTTGGGCAATATCATTAGGATTTTCATTAGCCTAGTTGGGCAATATTATTGCGATTTTCATTGGCTACTTGGGCAATTTCTTTGGAAATTTCATTTGCCACCTTGGCAATATCATTGCGATTTTCATTAGCTACTTGAGCAATATCTTTGGAAATTTCATTAGCTGCTTCGGCTATATCATTGTGGTTTTTGGTCATCAGGAGGGTGGTCACATGACCTATTTCCAAAAATGGTCAAAAAGCGAAAATTGTAGCCCTGCACTGTAGCTTCCTGAATCTGTTGGAATTATGTCCTAAAGTGCTCCCATTGTGGAGATATAACATAAAGTCTTTTCCTCATCACCGGCTTTTTTCAACCTTTTTGCATTTTTCTCCATGAGAACAACACCAAACAAAATGATTTCAACACATTTAGAAAGCTAAGAGAAAGGGCTACAATTCTTGTATCGTGGGAAAAATGACCAAAAATGGAAGGTGCATACCCTAACAGGTAAATTCACACTGACATATTACAAAAGATTGCAGGTAGACTACAAAAGTCAGTTATGGACTACAAAGTGTACTAGTACACCAAATAGACCACAAAACGTCAGACATGGACTACAAGTTTACTGATACACTACAAAAGACTAGTTGGACTTGGACTACAAAGTTTACTAATAGACTACAAAAAGTTGGACATAGACTACAAAGTTTACTGATATCCTTGATTACTGTTATTGACAATCCACTTTTTTCATTACAAAAGTG